AAAGAACAAGTTTTTTCAAGACTTTACATGCATCACATTTGTTAAATTCCCATTGGTAAAGCAAGTCACAAGGCTGGCTCAGAATCAGTGAAAGAAATAATTTATGGCCATTTTTACAGTCTAACACAATCAGAATTGTCACCATCATTGTAAAAAAAAAAACAATATTTGTTGAGTATTTTTTAAGTGGTAGGTGCTATTCTAATTGATTGTATTTATAAAAAGCTTGTAATCCTTACCTCAACCTTATGAGGCAGATACTATTATATCCCCATATTGGAGAAAAGGAAACAGAGACACAGAATGACAAAGGAGCTGATCCAAGGTCACACAACTGGGAAGCAAGGGAGCAAGGATTCAAACCAACATTCATATGTTGGTATGTTGGTTTCAATCCACATTCATAATGACTGTTCTATACTGCATCCTCTTCCTGCTCTACATATGTAGGACTTTCCATGATTGTTTCTTTTTTTAAGTGGATGATCTAATAAGAGGTTATAGCCTGAATTTAACATGTTCCCTGAGCATTGTCATATCTGTCACCACTTCATCCATGTTTCAGCTTTCTTCCAATAGGCACCTTATTAAAGCTTACCCAGTATTGTTATGGCTGACATGTGTTAGTCCAGATCTTGGTAGAACCTGTTGATTATTTTTTGTTTTTAGTGGTTGGAGTGTTAGCAGTGGTGTGGAGTTTATTCTAGAACTTTTCATCTTTATTTCTTCAGAGAAATTTGAGGATTTGGAAACAAGTGACTTATGGTGATGCTGAATGATTACTAAATAAATACATAACATATATATATATATATATATATATATATATATATATATATATATATGGTAAAATGCAATACCCCTTGAAAGCAGAGACTGTGACTTTGTCTCCTTGGCAACGAGCAAAGGGAAGAACACCCAGAGGACATGTTATGGGAGCTCAGTATATATTTATTGTATATAGTTACACTAAGTTCATGTCCCATTAAGGCAAGGGATCACACACTTATATACTAATAGTGACCAGATATTGGCAACATGTAATTACTAGAGAGGGGTAGAACTGGAGAACTCATGCCTCAGGTAACAAGGAAAGGTCTAGCCATTTGACACCGCTTGGGAATGTTTAGTGTTGCCAGATTGTTCTAGTTTTTAGGAAATGCTGTAACTTCAAATGTGTATGTAAAATTTCCTGATTTGATTTGATGTTTTAAAATATTAATTAATTGGGATCCCTGGGTGGCTCAGTGGTTTAGTGCCTGCCTTCAGCCCAGGGCATGATCCTGGAGTCCCAGGATCGAGTCCCACATCAAGCTCCCTGCATGGAGCCTGCTTCTCTTTCTGCCTGTGTGTCTGCCTCTCTCTCTCTCTCTCTCTCTCTCTCTCTCTCTCTCTGTGTGTGTGTGTGTGTCTCTCATGAATAAATAAATAAAATCTTTAAAAAAATAAAAAATTAATTAACTAATTAAATAATCTCTACAACCCAACATGAGGCTCAAATTCACAACCCTGAGATCAAGAGTTGCATGCTCTACCAACTGAGCCAGCCAGGCACCCCACTTTCCTGAGTTTAAAACACTATGTGTCAAATCAAACAGATCTTTTGATACATTTGACCCATGGCCAGCCAGTGTGTCACCCCCTACATCAGGCGCTGACTGGCATCTCTGTTGTATAACAGCTGTCCCAAAGGCCCAAGAAGGAAGGAGAACCACAGAATAAGGCAGAGATGGAGCAATGAGATAATAAGAGAGGCAGAACTTCAAGAAAGATGGAAAATGGCCTATTTCAGAGATTTCACAGAGGTCAAGGAAATGAAAATAAAAAAAGATCATTTGATTCGAGTAGATTATTTGGTACAACACTGCATTCACAGGCTGTGTTTTTAAAAAAGAAAGAGAAAGAAAAGAAAAAGAAAAGAAAAGAAAGAAAAGAAAAGAAAAGAAAAGAAAAGAAAAGAAAAGAAAAGAAAAGAAAAGAAAAAGCAAGCCATGGGCAAGTAACATGGGAAATACTCCAAACACTCGGTTAAACAAAATAAAATCAATTTCTTTACTCTGACCCTTTTCATTGTCTTTAATATCCTAATATGCAATGTAAATCTTCAAAAGGAGAAATAGGTACTGTTTCAGTGATCAAGGAGTCATTTCATACAGTTCCTTTAGATCTAATGACCTGGGGAAAACATTTAGGGAAAGCTGTATAAGGGACTGAATGAGTGAGCCACTGGGACTCTCTGGAGGAGTGATATGGAAACTGGAATGCATAAGGTAATGAATGAGGCATGATAAGCCAGTAGAGCAGCTTAGCATGTAAAAAAGTAGGTAAACCCATTGGTAACTAAGAACCATCAGCATCTTAACTTTGTAAAATAAAAGCCTTTTAGCATCATTCCTCTGATAAAAATGAATAAACCAGGGCACCCCCGGTGGCGCAGCGGTTTAGCTCTGCCTGCAGCCCGGGGTCTGATCCTCGAGACCCAGGATCGAGTCCTGCGTCGGGCTCCCTGCATGGAGCCCGCTTCTCCCTCTGCCTGTGTCTCTGCCTCTCAGTCTCTCTTTCTCTCTCTCTCTCTGAATAAATAAATTAAAAAAAAAACTTATTAAAAAAAATGAATAAACCAAAAAAAGTAAAGGGGTCCCCAACTTCTCATGGATTAAACCTCTTTGCCTGACATTCAAGGTTCTCCTTTATAAGGCCAACTGACATTTCTGATTCCCCTGTTATGTCCTATACTTATTCTCTGTTCTAAATACCCTGCTCTGAGCTCTGTCCTTAGGGCATTTTCTGTTTTCCAGCCTCTTTACCCTTGCTTACCTTGTGAGTTGCCTTCCCCAGCTGCTCTGATTAGAGCTGTGCCTATTTTCCAAGGCACAGCTCAAATCTGCTTTCCTCAGAAGCCTTCCTTAGCCATCAAACCTCACAGTTTTTTTCTCTGAATTTCTAGAGCATTTAAATTTCTGAAGGATTCGTTTGAGACTTAGTGTGTTGGAGATTGCTTATATGATTGGGAACTGAGAGAAGAAAGGCATGTCCTGAGCTGTGCAACTCTCAACCCCGGTTTGCCCTCACAATACACCCAAATAAGGTTAGGATGATATTATTCAGCAGCACATAAGAACAAGGGTATAACCCCATCACAGTGAATTTCATAGACTATGCTCTGTTGTTCTGCAACCACCTGCTGCTATTCCCTGAGGATAGAAGAGTTCATTCTCTTCTTGCTTAGAGTAATCAGTGCCATTTGTAGACACTAGGTTGAGCACTTACATGTATTGTCTTGGTGAATCCCCCAATTTCTCTAAGAAGGGGCACTAATATCCCCAGTTTACAGAAGAGGAAGCATTCTCTAAACATTCAAGTCAGCTTGTTCATGTTTATGGCCCTCTCTTTAGCTGGTCAAGGCAGAACCAGCAGTACAACCCCACATTCCTGACCCAAAAGTCTGGGCTTTTTCTGTCTCATCACACCATCTCCATGGCTACACTGGCCACCAGAAATTTAATGACAGAGAAAGGAAAGAATTCATGCTTACCCTTCAAGTGGCAAGTATATATTAGTAGACTGCAAAAGGCAGAGTAGAAGTCTAGTGAGAGTCAGTGCAGTTTGAATATGAGAGATATTCTAGGAATATCCTAGGATCTGCTAAGGACCTAGCACAGCCCAGTGGGCATCCTCTTGAAAACCAGTGGGTTGTGGTTAAGGTGAGGTTTGGAGGTTTGTGCATGACAGGGGCACATGCACAGCCTGGAGGACATGTGAGGGTCTTCTCTTCCTTGGGTACTCACTGATGTCACTAGGGGGATTGACCTCCATTTTCACTCTGCTATGAGCTCTTTGATTATCTCTCTCTCTCTTACTAGACTTTGAACTCTCTGAGGGGAAAAGCTGTCTTAGATCTGACGCAAAACTGGTATATAAATATAAAATAACTACTTGTTGATTTGATGAATGGATGACAAGGCAAGATGCTCAAGATGGAGATAACCCAATATAGTCCACTTTTACTCCACTGTCAGAAAACTAAGTTAACTATTTCTTCCCTGTTGTTTATATACTACCCAGCAGTCTCAGGCTTCCCAGAGACCTTCACAAAACCCAAAACCTCCCTTCAATAATGTAGAACCTCATAATTTTCAGGCCTCATCTTCTAAATTAGATTGTGTAGTTTTTCAGCACAAGAAGTATGTGCTACTTCTTGTACATGCCTCACATCCTTCAGCTCACTGCCTCACACAGAGCAGGATCTATATAAATGCATGTTGAACAACTGTATTGGAATTATGATTGGAAGCCTATCCTAACTGTACAATCTTTGTGAGATAATTCTTGGTGAATTCAGGTGATAAAAGGGAGAGGAAATCAGGATGGTGACAGAGACAGAGCAAGAACAGTGGGTAGGATCTGTCAACTCATTGGATGTGGAAGATGAGACAAAATGAAGAGGAAAAAGGATTCCAAGACTTTGAACCAAGCTGATGGGCTGAAGGATTATGCCCAAGAGAGAAATATAGAACTTCTATTTCCCCTGAACTTCTCATCCTCACTGCAGTTTGAACAGAGAGAAAAAGATTCCTCATGAATGTCCGGCTCAAGTGTTCCTTGGAGGCAGACAAACCTGGGGCAGTCAGGCACTCAGGAGAGTTCAAAAGGACAAAAAGGAAAGGTTGATTTTTTCACTCTGCAGAAGAGCTTTGCTCTGCCAAGGAGGAGGAGGAGAAATTGGAGCTGAATATATTTTTGGTTGGAACTACTTGTAAGTGTTCTGTTTGATAGCAGAGTTGTTTGAATGGCCGATTTCATAACTGCACATAGCTTTTCCAAATAAATGGTGTCTGTAGAATGTTCAGGTTAATGCATGAATCCAGTGCTCAAGAGTGTTTGTGCTTAGAGCAACTGGGCCTTCTTTCTTAATAAGTCATCTTGGCATTTTGTCAACAAACTAATTTGCTTTTCTAAGAAACTAGATTAATATTTCCTGTACTCTGTGCTATTCACAGATCTACAATGCAGTGAGAAGGGAAGAAGAAATAGAAAATACAATTGGATCTCTTCTCCATTACTTTACCAAGCTCCCAGCCTCCAAGACAGCCCATGAAAGGATTAGTGTTGGTCCATGCCTAAAGCAGTGTGTCCGAGACACCATATGTGAGTATCGTGCCACCCTCCAGAGGACGTCCATATCTCAGTACATCACGGGTTCGCTCCTAGAAGCAACCACATCTTTAGGAGCGAGAAGTGGCCTACTCAGTACTTTTGGAGGATCCACTGGACGAATGATGCTAAAAGGTAATGTCTGAGATTTACTTTTCACTTTCCACCCTTTCAGTGCAGAAAGGAATCTAAGTTAGCATTTATGCATCTCCTCATGGAAAATTGAGTTTACTTTTTGGCAATTTTAAATAAAGTTTGCCGCTGTCGTAAGCTATAAAAAAGATAGTCCTTTATCAAAATCCTTTAAGGTATAAACATTCCAAACAATAAGCATTAAGATTTTGAGATTGTTTTTTCAAAAGCAGTATAACTGATTACAAGATTATCTTTAATCAAAAAGAAACTATTCAAAGGGTTTCTCCTGGTGGTGGTCTATGACAGATGTGATGTGATAAGATGTGATAAGATGCTTAAAAACAAGTGTGGTCATGTGGTCACAGTGAAAACCAACACTGAGATGGAACAGAGCAAAATGTAGTCCTTTCTACACAGAATCAATAAGTTCATGTTGACCAGAAAAGCTAAAGGCCATCTTCCAATCATCCCCATCTTAAAAAAAAGGATAGTCAGATAGTCAGGCATCCTGCTAAAACATGAAAGCCAATGGAAAATGAGGTGCCTCAGCACCAGAACTTCCCAGCTACTTCCCACGAGTAGCAGACAGGCAGGTCAGAAATGGCAGTGTACCAAAGAAACTTGGAGATTTGTGCACTGCACAGCTGTCACAACCCGCTTGGCAGTCTTCCCTGGCAGGAAGCTGCCATCCAGACGGGGACCATGCAAAGCTACGTTCCACTGCCTGGGGGCTGGCAAGAGCTTGATCTGACATCCGGCCATTTCTCTCAAGGAGAGCAGCTACTGCCCCTCCACAGCAAGCCCCAGACCTATGGCTAGCAAGCCAGTGGCCTTCCTCCTCAATCCTTGGCCACCCTCCCACTCCACACCACACACACCTGGGCAGGCTCAAGGGGAAGTATACGCCTCCCTGTGTACCATGTGGGTACCATGTAGGTTTGTTTTCTGGAACCATTTTAATTTTGCAGCTTGGTTATAAATAATGAACGAAGGAAAACACAAGTTGTGGGAACACTAATCCAAGTGACCAAAGGGTTTCATATGTTTTTTGAGTTCCTACTAGGTGCTTGGTGCTGGGTAGGGAAAAACAGTTCCTGCTGCCATGGAGCTTTGTAGTCTCTAGATGGTAAGCAGTTTCCTCTATACACAGGACTCAGGATTTCTCTACTCTATTGTAGCTCCTGATGACTGCCAAACTTCCATTCTCCATCCATGCTCTTCCTAGAAAGTTGGGCTGAGATTGGTATGCCGAGTTATTGTTGCTTCAAGGCTTGTGACTCTATGGGACCTCATCCTGTGAGTTAATCAACTTGTGTTTCTCAGATACCCCATCTGTGCCCAGCAATGTAGGTATATGGGAGATTCTAATGACGTACAAGTCAGTTTACTTGCCTTTAACTTGTTTATGATCCTAATGAGGAGGCCAGTGTTGTGTGCACCAAGTATTCGAAGAATAATGTAAGACTAGAGAGAGTTAAGTGCTAAATAGTGTGAAAGTGCCTCCAGTAGTTCAAAGAGTTTAGAGAGGGAGTTAATGTTCTTTATGACAAATGGCATGGCCCAAAACATGAGACCTCAAACAAACAAACAACCATCAGTAAAAGCCACTTTCTTTCTTCTCTGTTAATTGCAAAGGGACAGATCTCAGACTCACCAACTAAGGCAGCTGCCTCCAGCCTTATACAGACCTCTAGGAAAAAAGGAGGCTGCTTGTTAGTATGTCTGTTGCCCTGATAGTAACTTGACCTCAATTGCTATCTGTACTTCTCCCTTCAGATCAGAACTTTTTTTTTTTTTTTAAGATTTGCTTATTTATTTTAGAGAGGAGGGAGGGAGTGCTAGAGGGAGATGGAGAGAGAGTCCCAAGCAGACTCTGCACTGAGTGTGGAGCCTGACACAGGCTCGAGCTCACAACCCTGGGTTCACAACCTAAACAGAGAGCCAGATGCCACCCAGGTACCCCCAGATCAGAACTTTTTGATCAACATTCTTAGTTCAGAGATATATTGGCCCATCTGCTAATGTGTTATCTTTAAATTGGCAATTTGTACAAGAGTTGGGAGTTTCTTTAACTTTCTGTTTTGTAGTTCTTTAATGGTTTTTGGTATCCCTCTGTAAGTAGCTTCTGCTGAATAATACAATTAGCTGGTTGGCTTCTGTTCCAGGCTTACTTCTGTAGCTCTGACTTGTTTTCTTGGGAAACTTTTACAACTTCTGTACCTTCTCCTGTGGGGTCCTCAGATTCTATACATGCCATAGTGAAACATGTTTCTTTAACATGCAGTGGAAGAAAATATATCCAAAAAACCACATCAGCATTCAGAATCATAGAATTTTTTTTAAGATTTTATTTATTTATTCATGAGAGACCAGAGAGAGAGAGAGGCAGTCACAGGTAGAGGGAGAAGCAGGCTCAATGCAGGGAGCCGGATGCGGGACTTGATCCCAGGACCCCAGGATCATGCCCTGGGCCGAAGGCAGACGCTTAACCACTTAACCACTGCACCGCTGAGCCACCTAGGTGTCCCAGAATCATAGAATGTTTATAGAATCTATAGGTTCAGCATACTAACTAGTTGAGTCTTGACCTCTGTTGGCCATGTACTCCAGCAGGAGGTCTGGAGGACACACTGGCACTGTAACCTGGTTGTCTGATTCTTTTATTGTTCATTGTGTGTCCTGTGGCATTGAGTTGGCTGACAGCTTTCAGCTCTGTATTACTAATGAAAATCTCTGGGAAGTATATAACACAGACTCCGTCCCATTTTATAAATAACTTGTATTCCAGAAGTTCATTTCTCAGGAGCTGTGTGGAGCTTAGAATTCTTTACTAGCGACACAGTATTAAACATTGTGATTTGGTTGACTCTAGTCCTCAAAAGCCTCTTTAACCCACAACACAGTTGAAATCTATAGACTTCCCATGGAAGTGTATTCTCTTTATTCTCTTGTAACACTAGTACTGCAATACTGAGAATCAGCCTCCAAAGAAAAAGCAATACAAATGAGTTGAAAGAAACTTCTTGTGTAAGGGAAATACATTTAGTCCAGGTGAACAGAGTTAAACTGAAACTTCTATGAAGATTTTGAAAAGAACTTTGGGCCATTTTAGAGATTCTAGATATTAGCATCTAGTTCTCTTATATGGTTAATCACATTTCAAAACTCATACCTATATATAAGAATCAGAAAATTATTATCCCAAGACTTTACTCTCCCCCCTTTTTAAATGGAGGCTTATAAATGGAATGAAAAAGAGAAGAGAGGCAGGGCAGGGTTTAATTCCCCACCCCCTCAACCCCTGAGTTAAACGTTAAGGAATAGATTCAAAAAGAATGACTTCTTCCATGAGAAAGGTCATATTTGAAGTAGATTAAATGGGTTGGGTAAAGGTAGAGAAAAAGGAGAGAAAAAGACAAGTACTGTTTGATTCCATTTATATGAGGCACTTAAAACAGTCAGCATCATAAAGACCAAGGGCTGGGAACGAAGAGTCATTGGTACTGAGTATAGAGTTTCCATTTTACAAGATGAAGAGTTCTGCACAACAGTATGAATGTATCTAATATCACTGAATTATACACTTAAAAGTGGTTACGATGTTACATTTTATATGTATTTAAACCTCCTTCTCCTCCCCCTCAAAAAAGAATAAAATATTTTAAAAAGAGGACAAAGATATTATGTAGGTCTTTGGTCCCAGGTTTATTAAGATGTTAGAATCAAGGTTCTGGAAAAAGGAAATACGAAAACAGCTTCTCATGTGAACATCCAGGGTGGGGTGGAAGCATGTCAACTTGTCTTCTGGAATGGTTGTGATTACAAGATGAGGTTTGGAGCCTGCAGTAGTTGAAAATAGGAAGAGAAAATGTCCAATGTCCAATCAGTTGTTCACCAGTCACAAGGCATTCAGAAGTCAGGAACTGGTGACTCAAGGCTTGATTGGCCAGAGTTCTGCAGCCCTGCAGCTTTACCACAGACTACAGGATTCTGCTAACTCTTCAACATCTCATTGAGCTTCCACACCTCCAATAATACAGGTGACTCTAGAAAGACCAGTCAGGAGACAAACATTCCTGGTTTCCTGCCTTCAGGATCACTAAGGATGATCTGTTAAGTCAAAAATTTGCCAAATAACAAGAAAATTTTCTGATATGAAGCATTGATTAGCAAGAATATGCCCTGGATATCAAAGGTGTGTTATCTCCAAATGGGAAATGGAGCATTTATACCATCTACTTCTGGTCTAGGTCCATTTCTCCCTCTCCCCATTAACCTTGCTAGAATCTCAGGATCAACCACCTGTAGCAGTGACAGCCAAAAGAATTATTGATGTCAATAATCAGGAGGTTTTCTAAACCCATTACCTGCTTTTGTTTCTATTTTTTTATATGTACTATCTACTGAAAATTACAAAAAGCAAGATAAAGTAACAAGGGAGAGAAAAAAGTGAGATCACTGATATTAATGTAAAATGCTGATAGTAAAATTAGAAAAAGTAGTGGTAAGGGAAAGGATTTTTCATTAGAAGGCAGCTAAGTGTTTTCAAATTAGCTGGTGCATATTGTACCAGCTAATATAATAAATTTGGTACATTAAACTCAATTTTTCCTTCTCAAACTGTTGCTAAGTAAATTTGTAAATTTAAGAATTAAGTATTTACATATAACCAGGACAATGCTTAGTTATTCATATTTAAATTATGTAGTAGAAAAGAAAACTCCATTGTTCATTTTAACCAGTTTGAGTATGTGTGTATGTAGAGAATAGCTATTAAAGTTATTGGTCATATATAGAGTGTAAATAGAATATTAATATGAAAACAAAAATGCCTTATATACTTAATATTCTTATTGAAAGTAGACAATATTTTATTTCTGATAGAAAGGTCTAATAATTTTTTCTTTTATTGCAAAAAGGATATTCTATTTGTGTATTTTTCTAAAATTAATATCTTCAAGGATAAAAACAAGAAGTTGTAATAAGGTAATAAGAGTACA